CATGAGTTCTTTGCTGAGCTTCTTGCTGTCAGCAGACAGCAAGAAGCCTCCCAGATCTCCAGATGCATTTGAGATATCAAAAAGTACTCCAGAGTGTTGTTCAGCATGGGGGTGAGTAGAAAATGAAGGCTAATCATGTTTTGGGTGTACTATTCCTTTAAGGTCCAACGGCATTAGAGAAGCAGCAAAGAGGCTCGCCCAGCTTTGGAGGACTTCCATAGATTCCGAGCACATGTGGGAGAACTGGGGTCTTACCTATAAATATGTTATTTAATGAAGTGTAGCGACCAAAAAGTCCCGCTTGGCACATGTTTGAGGAGGCTCAAACATGTGGAAAAAATGTGCTCTGGTCATTTATACTGGAAAATATTTCTCTGTCGGTTTTTGCTGGCAGAACTATGGAGTCTGGCAAACAGAGGTTTAAGTAATTACAATCAATTATGGAAGAAAACCCACTTGCTGCTTGTACGCACATGGCGGTGGGGCAGAGGTTCAAATGTAAGAAGGACAACACCCTTAAGATTTAACCACAGCATATTTGTGTGTCTGGGTGAACTTGTCCAAGTCCGGACCTAAACAGAATAAGAAGAGGTAACATGTGCTCCCCCTACATTCACCCTGAGCAGCTGAGCTTCAACTATTGGTTAAAATAGCAATCTGCACAGGTGCAAAAGTAATGCAGGAGATGTTGTAATTTCCCATGGGTGACATTTGCGTCTCCTTTCAGTTTTTATTTATAAAATCGGCGTGAAAATCGGGTTAGATTTTCCTTCCACTTCACTTTTCAGTTGTGTATCAATACAGTGTATGTGCTGAGTAAGGTACCAGTTAGTTTATGCTAAGAGGATTTTTTTTTTGTAAATTGATACAGCCCTATTTAAGCACATATGATAAAAAGTGTTTACTCACTCAAGTACTAAAATGGTTGTGATTTGTTTAGGTGGCTCCAGACTTCCAGGAAACCAGACCTCGCAACTATGTGCTTTCTGCCAGTGCCTCAGCGGTAAGGAGACCCTTCTATCTCTCTAAACAATATAGTCCTTTGTTCAGGGTTTATTTGCTTGTAGCATGTATATGTAGAAAGTGCAGCTTTATGCTTATGCTGCTTTCTCACCGGACGCAGCAGAAGCAGCGAGTTTACATGCAAAGTCGATGGTTGACACGCAGCAAAAGATCCCGCAGAGCAGCTGAAGCAGCGCCGCAAACGCGCTGCTGCTCGAGATGGAAAAACTGAACTTTTGCTGCTCGACGCGCCGCATCAACCAATCAGAGACGCTGCCAGGGAGACAGACACATCGCTGATGATACAGAGCGCTATAATTACTCATCTGAAACAGTTTATTAACGCCTAAATTAACTTAAAATGCAGCAACCTGCCGACAAAGCGTGTTCGCTTTTATTATCCTGGTTCCTGCAGTTTGGATTATGTACATGAAAACCACCTTCCAGCCGCCGTGGCGAACCGCGAGGAGGCGACCGGGCTATAGGCTGCTGTTGAATGGGATTCCTACTGACAGTGCACCGCTGGTATGTGGGGGTCTGAGCGGCTCCAACAGAAATAATATTGGAAGGCAGAATGGTAATCTGGATGAACTGACTGCAATGATGAAGTTTTTAGGTGGATTTTCCCAGTTAAAAACATTTTAAAACTACTTTTTTCCCACTGATCACAGCAAATATAGCTGCAAGGCAAAGAAAGGATAGTGAAGCTCCGCCCAACGTGCGTCAAACACACTTTTCGACCGCGCAGCCGGATCAGCAAAGCTGCTTCAGCCGCGCGTCAGAACTAAACTGGTACAAGCAGCAAAAATGAAGCAGCAGACGCGATTCTGCTGCTCCTGCCGCGTCCGGTGCGAACGCAGCATTATAGTTTTATCCTGATCTTATCGTGTTTTTATGCAGACGTTGTGCAGTAAACTTTTAGAGAAACTCTCGATCGGATTTTATGTGATGTTTATGGATTTTACAGTGTTGCAGCAGCCAGTGTTTCTTTTCCCACTGAAATTTGTCTTAAAATCCAACCTCAATCTGCATGACAAAGGAATGTATGCTGGGAATTATAGATGCTTGTTTTTATTTCTTACTCTTATAAAGGCAGTAGTTTAATTAAGTGATCTATGTGTTCTTGAAATACTTGTTAGAAGTAGAGAATAGAAGATGACCTCAGATCTATGAGGAAGGTGTGTCCATTTACAGAGAGCGGCAATAATTATTTCCCTTTGCATACCAGACTTCTGTGTAATGTTCTCCAGCATTAAGCCATTTAGAAAGTTGTCACATCATTAACAGGAAAATATGCACTCTATTGCTGCAAGGTTGTACATTAACTACAAACACGAGCCCTGATCTTAATCTATCACAGGATTCACATTACATGTTTTTATGTACACAAGAAATTTCTCTTTTCTACTCCGCGGACTATTGAAAAAAACAGCAAAAATAACTTAAGAGTAGCTTGAGCCTCGGCTGTCTTTATCAACTTCTAACTTGATTATTGTTGCAAAGTGGAGGGAATTAAAGCAGCGCAGCTCAGATCACAAGCTGAGGGTGATTTCCCAGTTGTCACCTGATTAATTTGGTTTTTTTGTTTAGGAAGGAAAGAGTTACCCTCCTTGGCTCCTTTTGAATAAAACCAAATTATCTATTTGTTGCTTTTGGCTTGAAAACCTTTGTATGAAAAGGAAATAAAACATAAATCATTTAACAAGCCGTGTGAGCTTCATTCAGCCAGCAATTTGACTCACTGATCTGTAACAGACAAAGAAGCCCAGCTGGTTTCCTGCATCTGCTTGACAAAGGAGGAGAAAGAAATGTTTAAATAGAATATAAATAGCAATGTGGTCTTAGAGGATCACTGTCCGGTGCTTTTTTTCTCAGGCCTGATCATAACAAGGCCTTTAGCTTTTTTTGTATCGGATCATGTGAAGATTATGAATTGACTTCTCCATTTACTATCTCTTACTCTTTCATCACTTTGTAGTTCCGTTTGTTATCATTGTGTCAATTCTATCATGCAAAATGGAGGAAGAAAAAGAGGATTTTGTTACTGTAAATAAATCAATATAAGAAAAATCATTATAACAACCCTGTAATAGACAATCTTTTGTCATAATAATCAACATCCCCTCCTCTTCCATACTAAGTGAAACTTCATGTTTGATCGAGACGCATTAGACAACCTATCTCTGATTAATAAAATATATATAATACAGATCACTGATCAGGTAATAATTAAGTGAATAGAATAAATAACCATGATTAATAAAATGATCAAATAAAACTATTCAGTTTATTTATTTAGCACCAATTCACAACAGATGTTCCGTAGTCTGGAGGCACTTTACAGAGAGAGTTCAGTCAGATCTCTGATATCAGATGGAGCTTGGTTATTTAGCACTTTATATGTAAGGAAGAAGGAGGAATTTAAATTTGATTCAACAGGAAGCCAACGAAGAGAAGCTAGGATATGATCTCCCGTTTTAGTTTTCATCAGAACTCTGGCTGCAGCATTTTGGATCAGCTGAAGGCTTTTAACTACAGTTTGTGGACTTCCTGATAGTAAAGAATTACAATAGTCCAGCCTTGAATTAACAAATGCATGGACTAGTTTCTCAGCATCATCCCTGGACAGGATATTTTTAATTATTGCAATATTCTGCAGATGAAACGTAATACGGGATTTAAATGACAGGTCCTGATCAAAAATAACACCAAGATTTTTTATTATCTGAGATCAATTTAATTCCATCCTAATAAAGTGACTGACTAATCAGCTTCTTTGTCAAAGACTATAAATTCGGTCTTAACTAAATCCAGAAGCAGAAGGTTTAGGGTCATCCAGGTTTTTATGTTTTTCAAGGCATCTCTGTTCTCTGTGTAATGGATTACGTATGTCTGTGTAAAGTAACAATAAAAGTAAACCCAGGATTTCCAACTGATTGGCAAACAATCATGCAATTACATGGAAATTGTTCCTGAAGATATAAAGTCTTTCCAAAATAAAAGTCAACGACTGTGAGAGCAGAAAACCTGTCAGACGGAAACTTAACGCTCATCCATCTGAGGTGCGCCATGTGGCAGATGAGTGATGGGGAGAAAATAACCATCCATTCACAGAGACATCATTAATGTCAAATATTACTGTTATATAGGAGTAATAAAAAGGGGGAAATAAATGGAGTTGGTTAGAAAGTAGCAGCGAAATCATCATCTGGTCCAGAACCATCTACCATCTGACGTGCTGCCCAGATCTCTACTTACTGATTTACCATTAGATGTTCAGACACGCCCGATACGGCGTCGTTGTTGCTGGTTCTTAGCTGTTTAAATAATCCATAATATATTAAGACACCTAACCAAAGTTTTAGGGGTGGTTATTCTGGGGCATTTCAATTCAATTCAATTTATTTCTTTAGCGCCAATTCACAACACAAGTCATCTCAAGGCACTTTACAGTTCAACCAGATCATCCAGTCAAATTGATTCAAAGTTTTCTATTTACGGAAAACCAGTTGATTGCATCGACTCATTGACTCAAAGGCAATCCCTCACACTAAGCATGCTTGTAGCGACAGTGGAGAGGAAAAACTCCCTTTGAACAGGAAGAAACCTCCAGCAGAACCAGGCTCAGTGTGAGCGGCCATCTGCTGAGGCCCACTGGGGTTCAAGGAGACAGAAGCAGACATAGAAAAAGAAGCATAGATACAAAAGGCAACTGTCAACCAGCTCCACAGGCGGCCCCGTCCAGCAAACACACAACCAGTAGGGCCCTATAATTTCCGCGATCACGGAGTCATGGACGGAATCGTGGAATTGGCAAATTAATGCGGAATCTAGTGTAAACGGGGAATTTTTTACATTTGAAATGAAATTCTGTTTTTGTGTGGGAGAAGAAACGCACACCGGGGGACGCAAATCTGGACGACACAACCCCTCCCGCTCCGTCATTTCCGCTCACCCTCCCCCATCAAAACATTGAAAAACTGGCGAAGCGGCTCTCCACAGCTCCGCTTTCAGCTAAAAAGTTGAGAAACACGACGCTAAGCCCTGAGTACAGAGCCGAGCAGTTCCCACGTGACTTTTGCGTGTCAGGTGAACTATTGTTTTGCAAGTTTTGTCAACATTCCATTGATTGGAAGCGCAAAAATACATACATAAAACGGAAAAAACAGAATTTTCAAAAATTAAAATGGAAAAAACGGAATTTGGGAAAAAATAAAACGGATTTTATAGGGCCCTAAACCAGGCAGACGAGCTCCAAGCCTGCTAACATGTCAGAGGTTGAAAGAGAGCACATCCAGCCGGTCACAGACAGAGAAGCAGGACTACACTGAAAAACAGGCCGATCTCGAACATCTATCAACAAAGGTGCTGATGGCAGCAGCACAGCTGATATTTCTCCCCAGGATGGAGTCACAGCCAAACAGGAACAGACCAGATGAAGCTACTATGAGAAAAAGCAGAGAGAGCAGAACGTTAGAGACTGAACTAATGAATTGTGCAGAATGTGAGAAAAGAGATAGAATGATGACAAAGGGGTCCCTATGTCCTCCAGCAGTCTAAGCCTATATCAGCATAACTATAGAGATAGCTCAGGATAACATGAGCCGCTCTAACTATAAGCTTTATCAAAAAGGAAAGTTTTAAACCTAGCCTTAAAAGTAGACAGGGTGTCTGCCTCACGGACTAAAACTGGTAGTTGGTTCCACAAGATAGGAGCCTGATAACTAAAAGATCTGCCTCCCATTCTACTTTTAGAAATTCTAGGAACCACTAGTAAACCTGCAGATTGAGAGTGAAGTGCTCTGTTAGGAAAATAAGGAACAATCCTATGTGCAGAAAAAGAACTGCATCATCTCATGACTTCTTTTCTGTTTCTGTTTTTGTTTCACATGGTTTGACGGCCAATCAGCTCTGGACTGAGGAAGTTGAAAAAGTAAGTACATCTGTTTCCTCGTTTACCAGAGGAGTCAACAGACCAGTGGACACACCAAAGCCTTGGAGTAACTCCACTACATTGGCAGGCATCAATTATTAACACTTATTTTAAATGCGTCATTATACTAATAAATGATCTGATGTTTTGTCTAATTAGGCGGAACAGGATCTCAGACTGGCTCAGACGGAGTTTGATCGTCAGGCAGAAGTGACACGCCTGCTTTTAGAAGGAATAAGTAGTACGCATGTAAGTCAGTCAGACACATGTCAGACATATTTACTGACTCAGAGTCTCTGTCCCATTCTGCTCAGAGATGGATTCATACTAAGGATTAAATGCTGAGTCAGTTTATTTTCAGATCAATATTTGTTGTTTCTTTAACTTTGAATTAGTGTTTGAATCATGCTGTTGAAATTAAAAGAGGAATAACATCAATTATGAGGCGTAGATGATAAAATTTGTGATTTATTTCTGAACCACCCAGGTCCATTAAGCTGCTAATAGAAAGATGATTGTTTCTTGAGATTGAATAATTTTTGTTTTCTCAACATTGTAAATCAATCACTTTTTATTTGGCTAGGATTTATCGGATATTTCCTTGTATATCATTGTTGAACTTTTTTGAATTTTCTTTATGTTAAATCAACTAACTTTGCTGTCCTTTTGAGGGACACGCTAACGGTGTTATCTCATTCTTGCAGTGCTGTAAACTAAGTGTCTCGTCTATTTTTCCTGTCACCACAATGGCTGCCCATTTGGTCAGTTTAGGTAAAGCCCCCCTCTATTGATAGGTCTGAAGTTGTTCAGATGATGGATCGATCAGATCTCTGTAGAACCCGAGTCCTCTCCCTCACCTGTCTGCTGTGTTTTCTAACAGACCTCCGAGGCCAGAAACAGAACATCTGGATACATACTCAGGTTTAATTTCACACATGTGGACTCCTGTTGCTAAGGTAGAGTCCCAGACAGTTAGTAGGAAAGGAAATATGACTTCAGTTAGGCCACACTTTTAAGATTTCTGTTTATTAAGAAAATACGAATCATGCATCTTGAATTTTTCACAACTGTACATAAGCTCCTAGTATGTTACAGAAATTCTCTATAAAATGATGGTGGGAAGGTTCACCGCTCCGGCTGGACTGTAAATTTAAAGATGTTTTTGCTTGTTATTATTGGAACTAGGGATACAAATTATTGATTAATGCAATTATCTAAAGTTGAGTGATCTAATCGATCGAAGGATCAGTCAGCAGCCAGTTTCCTTAAAACCTCAGTTGTCTCTTATTTCAAAGATCTTTCCATTACAGAGTGCTACATACTTTATCGCAATATGCTGAATTACAAAAATTGTACGTCAAATTTCATGTATATATTGTGCCAGCTTTATCAACACTGACTGAAAAACAAAAACATGTTTTTAAACGTATCTGTTAGTTATAACACAACAGGAAACTGTTAGGTTACAGAATAAAAGAAAGAATAAAATATGTGAAACATTCTGATTTTCAGTGTTCAAGGACATAACAGAGCTGGAAACATTATCAGACGGGGTATGATACACTGTCGGACTGTTTGCCACTTTGTTTACATGAAGTGTACGCTAACCTTGATGTAGCTCTGTTTTTAGTATAATTCAACAATCAGCACCTTTGTGTTGTTAGCATCTGGGATTTCTGGTTGTTATCAGAGGACGTTTCAAAAAGTTTTCCTAATTACTCTGCTAATTGCTAGCATGTCCTTTTCCTTCTTGTTAAAAATGTTTTGCGTGTCTCTCCACTTGCTAATGTTTCAAACACAATAGGGAATTTACGCTGCTCCGTCATGCAGCACGGCTAAATGGGCGCCATATAACTGCAGGAGTTTATTTAGTGTTCGTATTTACAGAGAAAAAGGTTCATTCTGCATCATTGTTGCCATTAAACTGTAAATCATCCCGGACCAGACTCCGGATCCGTCCATGTTTCGGCTTTTTTTTGCAAATACCAGTGAGGCTTCGCTTAAGAATGAACAGACGCGCCACCTGGTGGACAGCAGTAACACTACAGAACTGACAGACATTCCTTTGGGGAGCCGTTCAATAAACCATTAATCAACAATTAATATTAAGCCAATTTCAGTTCTTAGTGAGAGTCAGATTAAACCCTATAATCTCCTAATCTCAGGGTCTATTACTTACAGATTAGCTTAATATACGTTTCTAAGTAGTACTGAAGGATAACGTGAGTTATTACATAGACTGCTGATATCTAACCGAAACATTTCTGTCTGTTTCTAATCTAAACTGGTGATTCTTTAATGTTTTGGCCTCAGTTTTTGGAAGCAAAAGCAAATAGTTTTGTTGGATTAAAAAAGTACTAATTACTGTGCTGTAATTCTCTGACAGGTGAACCACCTGCGGTGCCTGCATGAGTTTGTGGAGGCCCAGGCTGCTTATTATAAGCAGGGTCATCTTCTGATGATGGAGCTTCAGAAGGAGCTGGGAAGGTGAGCGATGATGAAACCAGCATATCAACAGTCTGCACTCAGCTTGTGCCCTTTGTATCCAAGCTAAAAAGTACAGGGGTTAGGATGTTAAAGATTAAATCAGCTGCAATATGTTTTTATCACTCTAGGTTATATTAACTGAATATACTGGAAGAGGCTGTTTGTGTTTTTTTAATTTTTTTTTTTTATTTCTGCTATCTGGTTTATGGCAGAATTCACTTAACGCTGCGTTCTGTGTACCAGGAGCATTCTGCAACAGGAGAGCTTCTTGCATCATGCACATCTTGAATTAACTTTTTTTTTTTAACAAAGAAGTCCCATCTTTAAAAAAGTCTCAAACAGAGGCAGTGTAGGGAGCATTCAGACCCATTAAAAGCATGCATGCTTTTAATGCATGCATGCTTTTAATGCATGCATGGTTTTAATAGGTAAAAGCTGTGAGGATTTAGTTATTCATCAATGCGTTTGCTTCAGTTTAAGATGAACTAAATAGCCTACATTTTTAAGTTGATTTTAATTCATAGCACATACTGAGTGCAGATGTTATTAACATGCACGGTTAGTAATAATCAATCAAAGCAGACATTTGCAAATAAAGCAGGATGTTAAAACTCACCAATACTGGAAGGGTGATTGTTTTAAAATGTATTCTGTATCTTCAGTTTGTATTGAGTAGGTTGTGTCATGCAGCACTTGGTTTTCTTTCTTTTTTGCTTAATGTTCTTAGAAATAAAATAGTTTAGTATCTGATCTTTTTCTTTTTTGTCAGAATATGAATGAAAAAAAAAATCTTTTCTCCCAAAAAACTCATTACTGTGTCATGCTCTCAGTTTTGATGAGGATGTGTGAGTATCACCCATTATTTTATTTTTTTTTTTCCTCCTAACAACATATTTTCCTAACCTGACAAAAGCCAGATGCATGTCTCGCTCCGCCCATCTGGCTGTTGTCAGGTTAATATTTTCCTGCTCCTACTTTAATTTTTCGGAGGTATTTTTCCTGACAAGCTGCTGTGGGTTGTGATTGTTTCCTCCCCTTCCTTCATGTCAAAGTTCTGGTTTGGAAATTCTTCTAATTTTTTCCATGAAACGTTTTCTTTTTCAATCATCACCAGGAATTAAACCAGATCCACATTCTTCAGTTCAAACCAACCTCCGAGCCAGAAACAAGCTTAGGACAGAGGCAATGGCATTTATTACATGTGGTAGAGAAGTGAAGGGTCCCATTCATATAACAGGTGTTTACAGATGAATTGTTGGGTGGATCATATAAAAAGATTCACCCTGATGCTCCATGTCTTTAACCAAAGCAGACTGGATGTGACTGATTGAAAATAGTATGAAAACAAAGGGCAGAGGCCCTCCTTTACCGATTTAATAAACATTTTGGTCACTGCTGATTACAGCAGAGAACATCCAAAAAAAAAACCCAGAGGATTACTTCAGGACTCACAGGGGAACATGCTGTGAGGAAAACACTACAGCCAAGGGTGAGACGGAGCTAAATCACTTTATTTAGACCAAGAAAAGATTTAATAATATTTTTAATTCATTAGAAAGCCAATGAAAAGGAGCTAAAAATGGAGCAACCTGAATTTTTCTTTTAATTCTCGCCAAATCTTCTTCCACAGGGTTTTTCCTCAGGTTATTAAAAATCATTAAAAGTTATCAAATTATTAGTTTTTAAATTAAGGCCTTAATTGGTATTCAAATACATTAAATTCGATAATCATGACATTTAAAATGCTTTATTAAGAAAAAAAGTTTATTAAAACGATTTTGTCAGATATATTATATTATCTGCGTGTTTGTGCAGAACTGCTTCCGGTTGATCGTAAAGCCGTATGTTCGGAAAAGAAGCTTGTGGTCGACAAAAAGCTAGAGAATGGGAAAATGCTAATTTCAACAAAAGTGGCTGGAAGTTGAGGAGACGATCAGATTCCAAGGCGCTCGTCTGCTGGCAGTGAGTAACTTGCTGCTTGTAAAACTTTATACCTATTGGGCAACAATCTGCTATGTGTCTGGTTTGATCAGGAATTCCCCTTTCAGCAGAAAAAATACCCAAAACATGTGTCTAAGCTGAGAAAAAAGAACCACATTAAGCCTGGAAACATGCAGTTAGCAGCACAGTCTCCTGACCTTAGCCTCATCAAGAGGGGAGAACTGGACAGCAGCCTGAAAAACAAGAAACCTGCAAGACATAAAAAGTATGGGACCTTTCCGAAGAACGTGTTATTTTCATCATAGACAGAATACCACAATTGTTTAACTGTTTTATCTCCCAAATGCAGATATTTGAGTCAAAAGTTTGACGAACATTTTGGTCTATAAATGATGGCTAATTTGTGCCATGATTTGATGGTAATGCTTCCTTTTACAGTACAGCAATAATCATGTAATAACATGGTATTAATCTAGCAAGTTACTGTCAGGGTTTGGTTGAGGTTTGAGGACCCAGATGCAGAGGCAGAGAGGCTGAGGAGATTTCTTGCTGTTTTAATGATGAAAACAAAACAGAAAACAAAGGCAGGAATCCAAAAATCCAATTAATAAGTTAAATTAAACCAGAATCTCGGGAAACCAAACACGAGGAGCCAGGGAGAGACGAGAGAGGTAGACAACAGCATGGGGAGACTGCAATGACAAGGAAACAACAAAGAGTGACAGCAGAGGGAGAGTATGGCCGTTTCTCAATTCATGAGAACTCGAGTACGTACTCGCGTTCTCATCAAGTCCGTTCTTGCCGAGAACGCAGGAAGATCGGACTTGACGAGAACGCGAAGCACGCAAGCACGTATGTGTATTGGAACAGAAGCGTACTCGTGACGTCATCACATGCAACGTTCTTTAGCATTTCTTTAACAGTCAAAACTATTTGTTCCCTACACAAAACATTTTGAAAACAATATTTTTTATTTCTAAAGCTTAAAAAACATTTAAAAAAATGATGGTTAAAAATTGCGGTTACCCTCGGAGGTCTGCTGGACACTTTTTTTATTTCGCACTAACTCTGTAAACAGGCCACACAGGGAGGCTTAAATGTATAATGTTATCGCCTCAAACGATTTCAAAACGTACTTTTGAAGAACAACAGCAGCAGAAAAGGAAATGTTTAACTTACCACTGTGAGCGCTGTCTCGAATCAAGCTGCGGNATATGTAGCTGACTGAGACAAAGGCAGGGCTAACGAGCGGATAAGGAGCAGGTGTGAGAGGAGACAACAAGGAAGCCAATGGGAAAGGAACACACACAAGAGGGCAAAATAAGACAACAGAAAAACCTGAGAACTAACATAAATCTAGAAACTACAACAAAATAGGAATTAAACCAAAGAACTAGAAAACAAGGAGTAAAGTAAAGCACAACAGAACCAAGACCATGACAGTTATACTATATTACTAGAAAAACTTTATGGAGAATTTTGGTAAGTGCTGTGCTTCAGGCAGACAAGGTAAAGTCAGACTTCTTAGATTTCAAACAGTTACCAGACATCTCATTCATTTCACTGACAGCAATAAATGAATGTGTTATTATCTAGTAAAATGCTATTTATCACTTGGCATACAAAAAACAAACCTAGAAGACAGTAAGCCAATCTTCTTAACTAAACTCTTATTTATATGTAACTTTAGTTCAGTTTTATATTGCTTTAGTCACCTGATACAATTTATTTATTAAGCCGTTGGTAGGCGGTGGCCAATAATAGAAACTGCTATGTGGTAACATAATGGTTACCCACCAAAAGTCTCCATTGTTGCATAATAACATGCAATTGTAATAATTAAATGCAGGCAATTACATTCAAATTACATACCTTAATTTTTGGGTAATTACCAAATAAAGTTTTTCTTGTTACCAAGTAATAGTGTGACTTTCTCTGTTATTACCATGTTATTACATTGTTATTGATATACTGTCAAAGAAAGCGTTACTGATTTGATTTCTGTGTGCAGCGAGAAGTGCATTAAAAAAAGGGAAAAAATGAAGTGTAGAACATTAACCACTCATGTGCTTTGGGGACAGCGGGGTAAAGCGTTTATCCAATCAGTAGCTAAGAATTCATTATGAGAGATAAAAGCCGAGGTGACAGAACTGTTTACTTCATTTAAAACAAATGCTGCAACAACTCTTAATTTGGCATCAAAATAATTTTGATGCCATCAACAAGTACCCATGATTCTCATGGCAAAATCCGTCATTGTCTTCTGACGATGATCATGATGTTTTGGGTCATTTTGCTACTGTAAGGGGAATTCCTGATCATAGCAGATTGTTTCCCAATAGTTAAAAAGTTTAACAAGCAGCAACAGTTACTCACTGCCCATAAGCGAGCGCCTTGGAATGGCCTCCTTTGGTGGAATAGAGATGAGCTTGATGAAAATCTGGCTCTGCTGAGAGCTTTTCTGTTTTGAACAATGAGCAAGAAACCCAGCTTCTTTCATACGCCATCAGGTTCTAACCCACATTTTTTACAATGAAAAGGTCTTATTTGTCTCCCTTCTGTTATTGATTCCCTTTATCACACGTAACACGTTACTTTCTGCCGTGTAACGCTGTGGTACCAGCACCCTGGTGTGGTACCAGCACCTCACAGTGTTCAGCCACCTGAGTGAAGTTGGCCCCCCCACCTTCTTCAAATCAGACAAAATTAGTGTCAAACGTTTGTGCAGCAAAAATTTTCGCTTGTGCCGCTACCATTTTAAAGATATAAAGAAATATTTCTAGAGGTCATCAAAGGTCAACCAGCCGCCCCACCTTCTTCAAATCAGACGAAATGGGTGTCAATTAACTCAGCTCCGTTTGTGCAGCAAAAATTAGCGTTTGTGATGCTTTAGCTTTGAATATATTAATGAAAAAGTAAAGGTCAAAAGGTCAACCAGCCCCCCCACCTTCTTCAAATTAGACAAAGTTGGTGTCAAACGTTTGTGCTACGTTTGCTGGTTTGTGCAGCAAAAATTTTCGTTTGTGCCGCTACCATTTTAAAGATATAATGAAATGTTTCTAGAGGTCATCAAAGGTCAACCAGCCCGCCCCCACCTTCTTCAAATCAGACAAAATTGGTGTCGATTAACTCGGCTCCGTTTGTGCTGGTTTGTGATGATAGCGGCACAAACGAAAATTTTTGCTGCACAAACCAGCACAAACGTTTGACACCAATTTTGTCTAAATTGAAGAAGGTGGGGGGGGCTGGTTGACCTTTTGACCTTTACATTTTCATTAATATATTCAAAGCTAAAGCAGCACAAACGCCAATTTTTGCTGCACAAACGGAGCTGAGTTAATTGACACCCATTTCGTCTGATTTGAAGAAGGTGGGGGGGCTGGTTGACCTTTGATGACCTCTAGAAATATTTCTTTATATCTTTAAAATGGTAGCGGCACAAACGAAAATTTTTGCTACACAAACCAGCAAAAACGTTTGACACTAATTTTGTCTGATTTGAAGAAGGTAGGGGGACCCCCCCTACCTTCTTCAAATCAGACAAAATTAGTGAAGTTGGCCCAACTTCACTCAGGTTGTTCAGCTCTATGCAGTCAGATCAGGTTCTAAGCAAACAGAAAAAGTCTATGTAGCATTATCTCCCCAGCTTTCAAAGCTTAATTAACCTTTTATTGTTTCAGGATAGCTTTAAGTTGGGTTGTTTTTTAACCCCTAATGTTTTCCTGATTAAAACTTTTTTTTTCTTGCGTAAAATCCTTAAATGTACATTGGTTTTAAGTTTTTGGTGACCTTACATTTTTTTTATATTTCTTTGTATCATTCCTTAAACTTGGTCTTAGAAAACCTTTATTTTCATTTTGTATATACAGACTGTATACAGAAGGAAATTTCCATTCCATAAAGTGCAGCAGTGATCAAATGTAAACACTATGGGAGAAAAAACATGGTGCAAAAAACGCATTGATATGGAAGTTCAGAGCATTAAATATGTATGATGGAAATATGCAGAGTTTTGAATTGGTGTTATCAGTGTGATGCAGAGTCAGTGACATGATTTAGAGCAGAGTTTCTTCAACGTTTTCGCGGCCAAGCTGATGGCGAGATGGAGCGGGGGCCCCCTAATTCTATATATAATGTATGAAATTGTGTTAAATCAAACAGGTCCTATAGTCACTCCATTAAATAATATGGAGTCATGTAACGAAAGTAATCCCTCCCTGGGATTATTAAAGTATTTCTGATTCCTGGTTGATGGGACAGGTGTTGTGAATGAAACGGTGCCCAGCTTGAAAGAGCTCCTGACTGTCACTGAATGTGTGCTTTGATGACTGATAAATGGAGGCAGAAGATGTCTTTCAGTTTACTTCAGTGAATTCATGTTAATGTGGATTTCAAGACATTTCAATTAGTGGAAAAAATTCAGGGGGGAATATAAAAAAAAAAAAAAA